TAGAAGCAGTTTGCTACGCTTTAGCTGTTCCGAGATGTTATAGGTGCTTGTTGAGGTTTACCGCTTTATCCCGAAAGATGCAATTCTTAGACCTCGCATCCCCCTACTACCAAGAGGTATGGTACATCTGTGTAGCTATATTGATGCATGTGACCGCTGCTATCCTCCTGATCCACTGGTTGAGGAAGTACCTCTGATATTCGAACTTTCATCGCACTGAATAAATTATTGATTTAAATTAGCAGTCACGTTAATGAAACAAAGAGCTTTGTTGGGTCAACACCTGCACACTCCATCCATCCTTTCAAAATCCCGACTGCTAACATTTATAAAAGCTTTTTTTTTCAAAACGAAAAATGTAATGGCTCTCTGGGAGTGATTAACCGGCATGTTCTATGACCCCATAAATTTACCTGTCTTTGCTGTTGGGAGCATATGATCAGAAAATTGTCCTTTCGGAACTTCTGCTATCCTGTCCTTCTGTCGTACTCAGCAACAGTGAGGCACCCACTTCCTCCAATGGAGATGGTCTTCTCCAGTTCCACTGGAGCCTGTTTTTTTTGGCGAAAAGAAACCTGTCTTTTTCGATAGGAAGTTTTTCAAACCCCTCTTGATCAAAAGCAGTCCTGTAGCAGCCTATTCTATCAAGAAAGGAAAGTGGGAGAAAATAAACTATACGTATATCTGGATGGCATTTTTCCGCCATTGGTTATATTTATTTGGCATCAAACAGGATTTCTTCTGCATTTTCACTTGGTATGAGTGAGACTTTGTATTATATGAGTGACCTACAGGATATCATTGCGATCACGCAAGAAAATGAAATTATTTGAGCAGGACATGTTGCTCGCTTTGCCGACAACCAGTGAATGTCGCAAGTTAATGGGGCATTCACGACAACGTAATACGACCATTCGAATGGTCCTCAAAGAGGTAGCACACATACACCGAGCAATTTTATGGGTACTAACTGGAGGTATGCAGCCCAGGGTCGAAGGGCTGGGCGTAGCAGCGAAACGCCCCACTAACATAACTGACATAAGATACGAGCACCGACTGATTGTCCGGGTATTCTTCATACTCTCTCTCTCTCTCTCTCTCTACAGATATTTAATTTGTAAAACTTTGGTATTACATGCAATAATACGTATATGTATATTACTATATGATATATGTCTATTATTATATGATATACGTGTATTGTACGATATAAATGTATTATTATGTGATATATCCTGATTTTTGTTCGGACGGAGCGCCTGTTTGATAGCATCTTCGGCTTTAATGCTATTCTATTTTTAATAACGTTGACACGATGATGTGAATGCAGACAATTTTGTGTGAAATGCAAAATGTCAGCGCTCGTCTGACGCACCCGCAGAAATTTTTGCGAAGGAAACACATCAGGTTTTTGCAAAAATGTCCACCATAATCTTCTTTTTCTCTACACTGCTTTCTCAGTTGTTCGGATAGCTGAATCGTGTTGTAAGCAGTGCCCTCTCAGAACCTATCTAATCCAACACATCCAGAATTGCCACTTCCATTCTCAACAATAATCTTCTCTGGGCCGTCGAAGAGGCG